TTCAGAAATACATACAAATATAAAACACAGTATAACAGTAAATGGCAATAATTATTTAAAACAATAACAATTTAAGATCTAAAACACAGGCACTGTTGACAAGATATCCTTTGTCATTTTTTTAAAGTTTGCAAAAAGCAAAGTAACAAGTTCTGCCAGTTTTAATTTGGCTCCAAGCTGAAGGACAGAACAGCTAAAAGCTTTCGTGCCCTTGTCTGTTCCACACGAGGACCATGAAGATGCAAACAGTCCTTAGAGCGTGAGACATAACTACTGTCCATTCTTCGTATAAAAGTACATAAATAAAGTGGAAGCAGGCCCATGAGAGACTTATGAACCAGAGTCATCCAACGCACATGTCGCCTGTTAAACAGGGAGGACATACTGGTTTAAGATGGAGATCACAGTGATGAGGTAGCTCCAACCAGTAATAACTCTTAATGCACAGTGGGTACACTGGATTCAAGGACTGTAGAAACTGCTTGAAGCACATATAAACAACACCATAGTCAAGTACTGGTAAAAAGTAGCCGTGGTCAGAAGCTTCAGCTCTAAGGGAGAAACAGGATTTGTTTCTGAAGAAGAACCCGAGCTTCATCTTAATTTGGAGATTAGGTGTTTCACGTGAGATTTAAAAGAAAGCTCCTCGTCGATAATTCAGCCCAGGTATTTGTAACAGGAGACCCTCTCGAGAACTTCACCTTGAGCAGTTTTTATTAGAGGGACATTCTCCAGTGGGACAGATGCATTTGAAAAAAACAAAAAACTATTTTACATTTATCAGCATTTAAGACCAATGTTAGTTGCTCAAGATGAATCTGCACCTCATCAAAAGCAGCCTGTAAGAATTCAAGTGCCTGATCAATTGAATTTCAACAACATTAAATTCAATAATATTTTATTAAACCCAAAGGGAAATTATTTGTTTTAGTAACTCGTTATCCTCATTTCAGTAAGAGATGTTATAGATGCTGATGCTGCAGGCAGGAAGGATCTCTTGGAAAGATCCATCCTACAGTGGATCCTAAGAAACTGGCTGCAGATGCCGTCCGATCCGTCCACCCAGACTCGGCTGGCCTCTGGGTTCCCCTGGACTGTAGGACCTCCTGAATGCTGGGCAGAACTCCTCCCAGATTTGGAGTTTTATACATAAAAATACACTTGATAGTTATAATTGGAAGTATATTTACTGTATATGATGGTAATTTATTCTGTATTTTGCCAGATTATGGTGATTTTGGGGGTCGTGATGATGGGGCCCTTGAAGATTGTTGCCCAGGGTACAGGAAGTGTTAATGTGGCCCTGCTTCTCCGCTCACTGCAGATCACGTGACAAGATCACATGACCAAACTGAGCCTTTGCGATGAGAAAATCTCATCATATCAGATATTATTGCAAATGCAATTAATTGTTCAGCCCTAGGTCTAATCTGCTCAGAGCAGTTCGGTTCTGGACGGGTTGGGTTCAAACTACCAACTCAGAGTAAAGGGATCCACACCACCTGAGGGACGTGAGACCTGTCTGATCAGTCCAGTCCAGTGGTTCATTGGAAGATATTTTGCTAACAGACTTTTGAGTCTGATGTGCACGTGATCATATGGTGATCTTCAGCTCGGGCACTTCTTGGAGTTCCTGTTTGTGTGGATCCTTCTCAGTCCTCCATGTTTAATGTCAAGAAGTCCTCCAGCTGCTGGGAATCATCTGATGGATCGAACCATTCAGGGGGTCCCGCCCGGACCCGAACCGAACCTAAAGCCCTCCAACAGCGGATAACCCCGCTGCTAAAGTCCACCTGGCACTGAAATCTGTTCTGACATGTTCCCGACTCGTTATTTGTGCTTGTTTTTAACAGACACGTCACTTTGTACCCCCACACAGTTGGTTCGCTCCGGTTGTCCGGTCTGCGGCTCTCCGCTCCGTTAGCAACGTCAAGCTAGTGACAGGAAGTGACGATAAACCGGAACTAACGTGTTAGGCCTTCAAAATAAATTCAAAATTAAAACCTGAAAAAGAGAAATAAGACAATAAATTACTATATTACATCCATTTATCTTTTACATGATTCATTATCTTGAAAGTTACACTTATCAAACATAAGAACCAAAGCAGTTGGAGCGAACCTAAAGCCCTCCAACAGCGGA